CTATTGCCCGGGGGGCCCCATGGGTTTTCAGTCTGCCCCTGGTAAGGGGTACATAGTATCCCTACCCATTCACCAAAAAAGTCAATAAAAAAACACAACAGTTTTTTTACAATTCCTTTATTTAAAAAAAAAGCCAAAAAAGTATTCCATCGTTGTAATCCATCATCAGTCATGGTGTCCAGCTCGGTCAAGATGAAGCCAACGCACCGAAAAAAAACTCTTGATGCCCGCCAACCCATCCACAGCTGCTGAGCATTAGCTGCTATCTGACATTTGGCGGTCAGATGTAAACAACTGGGTGGAGCTAGTGGTGATGTCACCACTAGCTCCACCCAATTATGCTGTGATTGACCAAAGCATTGCACCTGACCTATGATCAGGTGCATTGCTTTGGCCAATCACAATGCATTGTCAGTGCATTGTGGGGTGCAGCAGGCAAACAGCCCACCGAATGCCCTTACTGTTCACTTGTTTGCCATACACATGAAAGACCGATGTTCGAGCTGAACTTATGTTCGACTCGAACATGAAGGACATCACTACTTAACACTAATTTCCAATATTGCTCACACTCATTTTCTAATTCTGTCATTACACAGCTCTGGAGGCTGTGCAACAGCATAATGCAAGCAATGGCAAGATGCCATCCTTGAAGAGAGAATCTCATTGGTCAGTATGATCACATGGCCAGTGCAAGCAAATGAACACTTGCCAATGCTTGTTTTATGCGGTTGCACAGTTTCTGGCACTTTGTAGTGATGTTGTAACTATTATATCAGCTGGAAAGGGAAATGGAAGATAGGAAGCATATAAAGAACATGAAGCAGGGACAAGAAGGGTGGGGAGGATGTTCAGAGTTCATTCGCCTTTTTAAAGGATAAGTTCACCTTTTAAAAAAAAATCAGCAGATCGCGGGTGCAAAGCAGGTCTTTTTCAGTCTGTCAGCGTAAGCTGTTTGCTTGCACCTCGTACAAGCAGGCAGTTACACACTGACAGGAAGCATCAATGAACTACCTACAGCACTCAACAGCACCCTGGTAGTTGATTGAGAACTACAAGCCGACAGCCACAAAGGTAGTTTTCCCATTCACAGAACTCTGTGAATAAATGACACGGCTGGATGAAATCTGGGAGAAGATCCCTAGCTCATTGTCACTAAAGGAGGCAGATCTGGGAGATGCTGCAGCAGTGAGAATATGTTACATGTTCCACCCTAAAAATGGATAAAATTTTCACAAAGGTGAACTTATCCTTTTAATTTTTTGTGAAAAGGTGAATTCACTGTATAAGCCACCTTCCAAAATTAGACAATGCTTTTTAAGCCCTTCAAAAATGTTTACTAGCCTACAGTGACCCTTATGTATGATTCCATTAAACTGACAGGGGTCCCAAGAACTGAAAAAAAAAGCGCTATCATTCCACCATTGTGGATGTCGCCATAGTATTCAAATCTTCTCACAGCAACTTCTCAAAAATGCAGGTATTAAGGTTAATGGTGTGCATGTGATACATTAATGGATCCAAAATCCATCAAAATAAATAGGACATGGTATAGTTTTTTTCACTGCATGAAGCTGGTAAATATGAGTTATATGATCCATCTAATCATTTTAACAACTTGTACTTATGTGACTACAGTTCTGCTTTAATAAAGCATTGTAATTTACTGTCACACCAAGGGACACATTACCATGCCAAGGTTATTGTGATATGAAGCCATCGAGTGATGAGTTTTCAAGGAGTCTAGGAACCACCGAGGTTTAAACTGTGAACCAGGAATATCATCTGCTATGATTTCCAAAATGTCCTCCTTTTTTAAACCAACACCTGCCAGTCACCATACAGAATAAGTACATATTCCACCAATTGTACAGTATGTCATCTAAGCATTGGCAACACTGTCTAAAGGTCCATGCACACTTGGTCCACTATCCTTGGAAGAAAAAACCCCTCATATACAGCATTTATGAGTGTTTTTTTATGCTGTTAGGAGAGTTTAGGAGCATTCAGCATTTTTTTTCTGTCACAAAACTGCTCTCAAAAAAGCAAACCAGAAGGGTTTTTTTTCTGCCTTTAAATATTGAGTTTAAAATCTGCCTCTAAAAGTCATAATCTGTATGGACACAAAGGAAAACATTGAGCTGATTCTACTGACAAACCGCAAAACTCCTGTAGAAGCAGCTTTTAATTTTTAAACCAGTGTGCATGGACCTTTAGGGTGATTAAATGGACAATCATTGTATATTATAATAAACGGATCAGGCACACGACACTGCTTACATGCCAAGGCTTTGAGCTTCTATTATTTTTTGTACTCCTTTGTGGATAATGGAATTGTACATATGGGGGTTATTTATTTATTTTTCTATTTGTTGAGCTAGAAAGATCTATGTATTTTTTCAACCTGAATAGCTAATGTAACTATGTAGCTATGTGTACGTCACCAGTAAGCAGCCTACAATGGGAAAAAATATGTAACCATTCACTGTTTTCCAAGAAAAGAAGATGAGAGAGTGAACATTTGTGTTTAATGTGTATCTCAGCCTTTCTGAACCTTTTCAACACAAAGGAACATTTGAAATAACGTCCAGTCTCAGGGAACCCCTGACAAAAAATGCTATATCTACAACTCATGGTATGTTAGTGTGATGGTCAGAAGGGTGAATGCTCCTTACGCTTGTGGTCATTGGGAAGAATTACCACATTACTAAAAAGATCATGTTGTTAGTGTGAACTTATCTGAAAGGAAGAAATTGCTCATCACTCAAGGAATCCCTAGCAATTATTTTTGCAATTGTTTTGAACCTGACAGGTTTTTATTGCTGACTTTGCATCTGCTGGTAATATTTACCCTATCATTGCCCTAGTGACTCTCCAGAACTTGAAGAAAAAGGAATCTTTCCAATGACAACATTTGTTCTGGTGACAACTGTCTTTTAGGGAGTTTTCTACACTTTAAACAGATTTCATCTGTTGAAAAGGTCCAAGTCAGCACTCCATGGATTTTTTGCAATTTTGATCAGATTCAATAGCCTATCACAATATGGTCAATACAATAGACAGCCTGTGCAAAAAGTTCTAGTATACTTATATTCTGATGACCTGAATGTTAAAAGTCCAGCACTTTGCTGTTCTACTGTTGTTGTTCATTTGGCAGTTTCCTTCTGCCACTCCTTCGCCTTATAGTGATGTACGAGGCTGCAGGAGGAACAACAGCGCAAAGCAGGGAAACAGATATTTTACACACCACAAACTTGTATATCTGCAGTGGCCATAGAACAGTGACCCATCAGTGTTCTTTTTTACAGGCTGCCCTGTCTTCAGCCTTGACTCTGTATTGAAATGATCGCTTGCTATTCTGTTTGGTATCCCACCAAACAGTACCTATGTATAGAGGCTGCTGAAGGCTCTTTATTGCTTCTTTATTATTTTCTCATAGCACAGCTCTTGAGCACTCCACAGATAGCAGTTATGAAACTCCGAGATACACTGACTTTACTCCTCCTTTACCAATTGTTCAGAATGAACTGTTCATTATCAAATAGGGTGCCACTTGTAGAAGTATTTGTAAAAACATGGGTCAATCTATAAAAAAGGGGGGAGAAAAGAAAAAGGAACAAGGAAGTAACTCCAAAGGATACCAATAGCCCCCATTCATTCCACAAAAAATGAAGAACTGTACCAGCATAGGACCTTGCCTAGGGTCAACATCTCAAGGGTCACTTAATTGGTCAATGCGGTGCATGTCCAGGTATTAATGGTAAGTATGTGGGTTGCGGTATTATGTTACCCCATCGGACACCAAGGTCCTACAAATTAATATAATATAAACACATACCACACCCATCATAGAAAAAAAACATGCATCATGCATAGCCACATGGCTGTGCTTGTTTTATTTGGAATGTTTGTAGTGATCCCCGGGCTTCTTGGTTCATTGCGGGTGTGTCTGTGTTCTCCCTTTCTTCTGTTCTCCTGCTGATCCCTTGTATTTGTTGTTTGTAGTTGTTTGCCACAAATAATTCAGTTGTTTGCATCTGGGCCTTGTAAGCCAGCACATATTATTTGAGCCCACTTATTGGAGTTGGCATTAATTACACAGGCTTATTGATTTCGAAATTAACTGTTATAATATTTCGACAGAAGCACTAAACATAATGATATTGCATGTGGGCTGAAGTACTAAACAGTCACACAGTGCATGTTCTAAAAGTAATGTTAATATTTACCCAAAATGTCGCAGCTACTGTCAAGGTAATGCTAGAGAGCTGCCACATGAGAGAGCAATAAAAAGTTTTTGGTGGGCTATTTGCATAGGTGACTTTACAGTGGTTTTACAGGCAGAAGGCTTTTTACCTTAGTGCATTAAGATACGTAAACAACCTTCTGCAAGCAACTCCCCATCCAGCCTCCCTTATATTTACCGGAGCCCGATCTCAATCCAGCAATGTGCACAAGATCAGAGGCTCTCTCAATCACAGCCAAAGAGGAGGAAGTTGGGGCAGCCCCAAGCCGCAATCTATGTGTTTATAGACACACAGAACATGGCTCGAGAGCAAGCCCACACGAGTGACCCCATAGCGAATGGATTGCTAAGGTGGGCACTCAGCAGGGGGGGAGGGTGGTGGGGGACCCGAGAAGAGAAGGATTGCGGCTGCTCTGTGCAAAACCATTGCAAAGAGCAGGTAAGCATAACATGTTCCTTTATTTTTTTATGTACCGTATTTTTCGCTCCATAAGATGCATTTTTTTCCCCCCCAAAAAGGGGGGAAAATGTCAGTGCGTCTTATGGAGCGAATGTAAAGCAGCCGGTCCGGTATTTCTAACGCCACCATGTCAGAATATCGGGCTCTTCTCTCCTGCAGGACCTTACCTGTTCCTCACTCCAGCGCTGCAGTCTTCCAGCGGTGGCTTCTGTGACAGCCGGGTGCCCACTGCGCATGCGCGAGAAGCGCTGCACTTTGTGAATGGTCCGGTGTCTTCTGGGTCACATGACAGGTCCCAGAAGGCTCCGGGCGGGCCATTCACAAAGCGCAGCGCTTCCCGCGCTTGTGCAGTGGGCACCCGGCTGTCACAGAAGCCGCCGCGGGAAGAAGAAGGAAGGACAACTCCGCGGCAGTGGGAGCGGGTACCTATCAAATTCAGGTACCCGTTCCCCCTCCCTCCCCAAAGGTCCGCAGTCTCTGGTAATCTCCATTATTGTCTGCAGTCTCTGGTCATCCCCCGCACTGTCTGCAGTCTCTGGTCATCTCCTGTACTGTGTCCGCAGTTTCTGGTCATCTCCTGTACTGTGTCCGCAGTCTCTGGTCATCTCCTGTACTATGTCCGCAGTCTCTGGTCATCTCCTGTACTGTGTCCGCAGTCTCTGGTCATCTCCTGTACTGTGTCCGCAGTCTCTGGTCATCTCCTGTACTGTGTCCGCAGTCTCTCGTCATCTCCTGTACTGTGTCCGCAGTCTCTCGTCATCCCCTGTACTGTGTCCGCAGTTTCTGGTCATTCCCTGTACTGTGTCCGCAGTCTCTGGTCATCTCCTGTACTATGTCCGCAGTCTCTGTTCATCTCCTGTACTGTGTCCGCAGTCTCTGGTCATCCCCTGTACTGTGTCTGCAGTCTCTGGTCATCCCCTGTACTGTGTCTGCAGTCTCTGGTCATTCCCTGTACTGTGTCCGCAGTCTCTGGTCATCTCCTGTACTATGTCCACAGTCTCTGGTCATCTCCTGTACTGTGTCCGCAGTCTCTGGTCATCCCCTGTACTGTGTCTGCAGTCTCTGGTCATCTCCTGTACTGTGTCCGCAGTCTCTGGTCATCTCCTGTACTATGTCCGCAGTCTCTGGTCATCTCCTGTACTGTGTCCGCAGTCTCTGGTCATCTCCTGTACTGTGTCCGCAGTCTCTGGTCATCCCCTGTACTGTGTCTGCAGTCCATTGGTTCAGAATATTTTTGTTTTTGTTTTTCTCCTCTAAAACCTAGGAGCGTCTTATGGTCAGGTGCGTCTTATGGAGCGAAAAATACGGTATTCTTTACAAGCACTTTAACTCTGGAATGATCCTGATTGTTTAGTAGCCCTGTAATATTAATCAAATATCATTATTATTACCAAGATGTCAGTGTAGAAAAGTGGAAACTTGCAATACCTCTGTGTTTTTAAAGATGCAGACTTTAGGGCTTTGTTTTTTTTATCTATACATTCTTATGAGTGAGTTACTAGAAATCTGCATAAAGACATTAAAACGAGTAGATACTATGTCAGTAATTCTTTAAGCTGCATAGCTAGGGTCAAGGTGAGAGCCTTTGAGCATTCACACTAAAAATCAAGTCAGCATTAACAGCTCCTATATTTCTATCCTGATGGCTCCCTTTAAGTCATTAGCTGTCCCACAAAAACGTTTGCTTCTTAAGTCTTTCAATAAAGTGAACCTATTACTGAAAAAATAAATTCCTGCAAATATACCTGCACTTATTTGTAGAATTTTTGCAATGAGCTTCTGCATGTAGCAGATGCCTCCACTGTGTTCTGTGATCCCTTCTGTTAGCCCCTTACAGGACACAAGGTTCTACAAAATGACATCAAAGGTGCAGTTACACTTTAAATGCAAAACAAACCAAGCTAAATTGGTCCTGCATGTAGGATTGATTGATACTTGCGGATGGACACTCATCAGTAAAGCATGCCTTCTTGAAGCCAACACAAAACAGGAAGTCAAAAGCATTGGTCACCCTGTCCTATATTTAAAGTTGGATTTTACTTAATCTCTTTGTGCTGGCCCCACACATATATGCAGCTTTTTGGCAGGTGGGCTTTAATGTATGTAAAAATTTTACTATGCTGAGAGTGTGCTCCCTATGCACTCCCAGCACATTTGCTAACATGTCATGGAAAGCTCTAAATGCATACTTGTGATTGAACGCTTTCTGACCATGTGACAGCCAATCACAGTGGTCACGTGCCTTCCTCTGCATTTCTATCCACTTAAAGGGCAGAGAGGGGGCAGCAGGAAGGTGTTAAAACTTTGGGTCTCTTAACATTTGTAGAACAAATGGTGGTGCTCTACAAAAGGTGCTTTTCCTTTTGTCAGACTTTTAATGGCTAATACCTTGATGGACCTCCTTGCTTGGTGAGCCTAGATCCCTTTCCTCCCCTATATTGAAACAACTCTTCTAACATTGGGGTTGATTTACTAAAGGAGTAAAGGATGTGTACTTAACAAAGTCAATTTTCACATAGCAACATGTACAGTATGTTCAGTAAGAATGGCAGATTTGGAGGATGTGTATTTCTGCCGTATGAAATGCACTTCAGAAAACACATACAGACTGCCAGTGAGCCCTTGAATAACAGTGATTTTGCCATTTTTAGATAGCTTAGGTCACAGAAACAATGTACAGAGTTGATCAGAGTGGCTACATACAGGGCAAATTGGTCATCACAGCGGTCACAAATATAAGTTTACATTCCTTTCACCCCCCTCCTCTCCTGTACATCTCCATGATGTCTTTGTGTGACCTGTATATTAACCCTTTAAACTCCCTTATACTACATTAAACCCCTCATCTTCACTATTTACTACATGTAAACTGTACATTAAACCTTCACTTACTCCCACCTCTGTTAATGAGCTCTAGATTGATGATGGCATGCATCTAGTACACCATTACCATTAAGTTCCATGTTTAACCATTTACAATACCAGCATGTCTCCTCATTTCCATTTTACCCTTTCTATTTGTCCTGTTTACCGTTATCATTGAAAGTGAAAGTAAAAGAAAATCCGAAATTTGGGGTTGACACTCGAATAGGAATAGAGTTCTAGTACTGGTGACCCTGGTGACTCCCTGGGATTCTCTCACTTTGAGTGATTTTCTCTCAATTCCTGTTTTGGCTATGGGTCAAGAAGTGAAGGGAAATCTCCCCTATGGGACACAGATGGCAAAAAAAAAAACTGACAGGGGTTATAACACTAACTTATTCTATCCAAAATTAAAAAAAATGGCTTTAGTTTTTTGAGCACCACAAACCAAAAGTATTATTTAATACATTTTTAAAATTCAAACTAAAACTCACCCATCCATCCATGTCCTCATAGTTTATTTATTTTAAATACTTTTTATTACAAGAGAATTCAAATGACAGGATACACAAAAATCCACACTATAAATATACAAAGTGCCAATATCTCATTGTAAAACAGTGTGACCGAACGTCAAAAATAAAGAACCTTGACAAAGCTTGGGGTTGATTTACTAAAACTGGAGCTTGCAAAAACTGGTGCAGCTCTGCATAGAATCCAATTAGTTTCCAAGATTGTTTTGTCAAATCTTAAATGAACAAGCTGAAGTTAGAAGCTGATTGGCTATGATGCATATCTGCACCAGATTTTGCACTCTCCAGTTTTAGTAAATCAATCCCTTTGTCTCCTGTTTTGTACATCCACACTATAATCAATAGTAACCATTGAAAAGCAGCAATAAGATATGTTCACATCTCCCACAGATACTTCACTTTAAGATAAGTCAATGTCAGCCATTAGCAGTTAAAATTTGTGTTGAGTTACACCACATTCCCCATATCTTGTAATAATAATACATTTAATTCAATAATATAATCAAACAAAAAACACTGAAATTTGAAATATAGCGCCAAGTTCGCACATTGCTGAGCAAAGTCGCAAAATTGTTTTCAGTGTCTGATGACGAATTTCCCCACGAATCATTATCACTCAATTCTGCAAGTGGTTCTGATTTACTATCGCTGTTTTCTCTAGCTGATCTAAACCCGCTTTTGACCTAAAGGGACACTTTTTGGACACCATGGACTTTTCTCAGTTTCCAGGCAGAAAGAACGGACAAAATGCAGGCAGGGCACAGGGCAAAGCACTAGGGACAAAATGTATGTGAAATGGGTTGAAACAGCAATGTTTTGCTATGTAAAATTTGTTTGGAAAAAAATGACATTTTTTAAAATTTTTCAAATTTTTCGCCGCCGGCGGCGCCCGTACGTCCCGACGTCACAGGGACCGGAACACAGAAGTCGGATGCCAGCATCGGCTGGAGGAGATGGCCGGGGACGCTGCAGGGGACACATCGCGGGAGCGAAGGACAAGGTAAGCTCTGCAGGGACTCCCTATGCAGCGCCGCATGGTAAGCCCGAGTGTAGCTCGGGGTTACCGCTTTTGGCACTGACATTTTACCCCGAGCTACACTCGGGAATACCGCTAGGGAGGTTAAAGGAATGAATAATACCATTGTTATATATATCCATCAATGTGTTTAATCCTGTCCATTTCCAAAATGTAGAGTCTGGAAGGGTGAATAATTGAGAAAAGGCAGGATTATCCCAAAGGGGCATTTCTAAAGGAGTATCTGCATATGAGGCTAGTCTTTTAGCTTCTCTCCACACAGATCTAGCCAGGGTCAATATAGGCAATTTGACACTATGTAATGAGGAAAGGGGGGCTACCAGGCCTATAAGAAGTCTTTCCACTCGCAGAACTGAACTAAGGTGGGCCTCTATGCCATCAGGTAGGTCTAGCATTACCCAACTCTGCCAATGTTTCAATTGGCCTGCTAAATAGTACAATTACATTCAGGTGTAATCAATTTGCTTCTTCCCAATGCGTTATTTTTGTTGAGAAATCACTTTGAAAAACACCCCCTAACATTTCTAGCTGTGGGCAACTTGAGTAAGGGCAGATGACTCATGTAGCATTTACTTACTGAAATCCCTTTGCCCTTAACGCAGGCATTCAGACAGGAGGTGTGCTTAGCCTCTCCTCCTTTAGATAAAGAAATAAAAATGTCCATGAAAACTCATGGGATGTATGACATCATTTTATCCTAGGCCAGAAACAGGGAAACAACTTAATTGGATCCTGTCTAAACTGGTCCTAGTTTGTGTGTGTATGAATGTAAATTAGGGACCTTAGATTGTACGCCTCTTGAGGGTTAGGGACTGATGTGAATGTACAATATATGTGTAAAGCTCTTTGTAAATTGATGGCACTATATAAGTACCTGAAATAAATAAATAAAAATAATATAAGAAGAAGAAGAAATGTAAAATATGTTAACCAGTAAATATATCATACCTTCGTATCTATTTACTGGTGCTAGAAGCATAAGGATTGAAAATGATTATTGTTGACTGAAAGAGTAAAGTTTCTCTTTAAGAACCACCAAAAAAAGCTGTATCAGTCTAAAAAAAAAAAGTAATCATATAAAATGATTTTGGGGTACAATTCAGCATGACTGAATAATTGTCAAAGTATCACAGCACTGAATACTGATAGACTGGCACTCAAACGGTTAAAAAGAACACAATATAATCTTATTTACTAAGAAAACCCACTTTGAAAGAGAACACTGGGATTCCTTATATGTGTTGAGTCGGAACACTGAGCTTATTTAACAAGGCAATAAAAGTGCAGCCACTAAATGCCAGGTATTTGCATTATTATATTGCCAAATGTTAAATCAGTCCTAATAGACCATTAACTCTTTGAAAACTGCTGATAAACAGGCACATGGTGGGTTTCCCCACGGTGCCTGCCTGTTGCACTTAGTAAATTTGGTTACACAGTAGACTTGCTAACCATTGCACCACTACTAATGAGAGCTTAAGCTGTCAGTTAGTACTTAACTAACATTCATCTCACAGAATGTGTGTGCACTAAGAGAGGCTGTGATTCAGTAACAACTTGTCTTCATACTCTGGTTTTGAACCTTTAATGAAATAGGGCTACATGTGTCTGCAAACTGCAGAATGCGCTTAGCACAACGCTTTGCTGTGTTCTGTTATTTTGCAAAAGACATTACAATTTTTTTTCTGACATGTACATGACAGGTTTCAGCAATATAGAATGTCTTACTAACAGTGCCAAATATTTTGGTTAGATGTACCCGGAGACATTTTGTTCATTTTAATAAATCAAAAACAAGCATACCGAAAATCACATAACC